TGTATGTATGTAATGTATGTATGTAATGTATGTATGTATGTATGTATGTATGTATGTATGTATGTATGTATGTATGTATGTATGTATGTATGTATGTATGTATGTATGTATGTATGTATGTATGTATGTATGTATGTATGTATGTATGTATGTATGTATGTATGTATGTATGTATGTATGTATGTATGTATGTATGTATGTATGTATGTATGTATGTATGTATGTATGTATGTATGTATGTATGTATGTATGTATGTATGTATGTATGTATGTATGTATGTATGTATGTATGTATGTATGTATGTATGTATGTATGTATGTATGTATGTATGTATGTATGTATGTATGTATGTATGTATGTATGTATGTATGTATGTATGTATGTATGTATGTATGTATGTATGTATGTATGTATGTATGTATGTATGTAATGTAATGTATGTATGTATGTATGTATGTATGTATGTATGTATGTATGTAATGTATGTATGTAATGTAATGTATGTATGTATGTATGTAATGTATGTATGTATGTATGTATGTATGTATGTATGTATGTATGTATGTATGTATGTATGTATGTATGTATGTATGTATGTATGTATGTATGTATGTATGTATGTATGTATGTTATGTATGTATGTAATGTAATGTAATGTAATGTAATGTAATGTAATGTAATGTAATGTAATGTAATGTAATGTAATGTAATGTAATGTAATGTAATGTATTGTATTGTAATGTAATGTAATGTAATGTAATGTAATGTAATGTAATGTATGTATGTATATATATATATATATGCTACCCCCCCTTGAAATACTCAGGTTTTTTGGCCAGAACTGAGGTTTTTGGCCAGACTGGGGGTGACAAATGGCTTGAGGCTCTGAAATGAACTGACTGGACGCTCAACTCTTCCAACCAAGCAGAGGTTAAGCTCAACGTTGATTAGGAGTTGCGAGTTGTGTGACCGTCACATTGGCGTGCGCGAAGTGCACTTAAAGCCACATTGGAATATGCAAAGTGCATTTTGGCAGCTTCAGCTCAAGAAACACAACTGCTCAGTACAAGAGTAGTGCGCGAAGTACGTTTTGGCAGCTTCAACGCGCCTGTAGCAGCTCTATTATTTGGTGTTTATTATTTTTGTTTGGCAGCAAATTCAGCCAATCATCAACTTGGGGAAAAGGAACTCATTCCTACTTCATGTCCTTGCGCAGTTGCATTTACACGTTAACTCGCGTGTTGTGCATAACTCCTGAGTCTATTTGAAATGTACGTTGCTTTGCAACTATCCCATGTGTGTGTTGCTTGTCTAAGCTGGTTCAATCATCGCCAATAACAACTATTGAAACTCAAGTCAGGGAGGGATATCCAGCTTAAAAAGCTTTCGAGCTCAAACCAAATTCAAGTTTACCCGTTTGCAGTTTCTTGTGCATTTCAAAAATAAACTGGAGAAGATAGCTATTGTCATGGCCAATTGAATTTGGAATCAAACTCAATTTTGAAAAGGTTGTTGTCCTTATCGAACTCCATGTGCTTTGAACCAAGCAAGAACTGAGCCAAGCCAATGACAGGAACGTGTTTTCAATCATAGGTCTTATTCTTGGCATAAATGCTTTAAAACGTAGTGTTTTTCAGCATTTGCTCAGATCATGTTGCCCTGGATCGAAGATCGAATATACAAGTTTCCACAAACATATGTTTAGAACATCCTCAATCCTGGTCCCCCCAAAACTTGACAGTTTGTTCCAGACTCATTAAGGTTTCGCCCCCTGCATTGAAGATTGAAGATCTACCAGATTTTCTATTTGAGAATCTTCCATCCTGGCCAGCCCTCAAGTCCAAAAAAAAATTGTAAAGGTGTCAACAACATTTTTCCTCCCTGGCCAAGCGCAGGCAGTGCAAGTGCACATGCACAATTTGATTCTGACAACATGCACTCCCGTCCGCCTTTTGGATTCTTCAAATCTGCGCTTGGGGCAATCCAGGACCTGGATTGAAGATTGAATATTCTCTGACAACTCTTTCTGAAATTCTGCAAACATGTGCTTAGGGCAATCCAGGATGCGCTAGCACGTGCTAGCACATCCTTGATTGCACTAAGTACCGATGCTGGAAGTTAAGTCTAAAAAAGAGTGCATTTTTAGAGCCTCATTTTAGAAGGTGGAACGTGTGTTTTGCATGCATTTTTACAGCCAAAATGTCAATTCTAGCCAAAAACCTGTGGGGGATACCATATATATATATATTATACATATGTATATGTATTCCACGCATTTTTCCATTGTATTCTTCCATATGTCTACATGTGTTGAGACGCAGGCGGCACCAGCAAGCACTTCAACCCCACCGCCCTGGGGGGGCGCCGGAACTCCGCGGCCTTCGCGGCGCTGCCCACGGCGCGGCGCCGGTCCGTGCGCCGCGGCTGCGTGGGGTTGGGGGGGGGGTGGGGTGGGGGGGGTGGCTGCGGGTTTGCCGTGGGCCGTAATCACGGGAGACAGCTGTTTGGGGATGAATCACATGTCCACTAGCCGCCAAACCGCTGTTGCGGTGGTTTACCTCCAGAAAAAGTGATCGCCAAAAGAGAGAACCCGAAACAAGTCAATGGGCTTCGATTTTCTGTTGGTTTGCAAAGCCCATACGGAAACATCCAAAGAAGGGACGCCTCAAGACAAATTGGACACACCCAGTGAAACTAGCCAGTTTGCAGGTTTCCCGATTTGGAGACAGACCCATTTTGTCTCTGCATGAGCGCGTTTTATCACCCCAAACCACAAACCGGTCCCTCAATGGATATCTTTAGGAGCCTCCAACCAGCACGGGAATAAGCCGCACCGTAGCTGGCTACAATCAAAGCCGTAGATGAGTCCTTAGCTGACACTCCTATTCACACATAGGCACGGATATCTGCCCTTTTGATTCTTTGATGGTTTGGGTGCCCTCTTCCCAACAATTATGAAGTAGATGGCAAGGAAAGTAGTCTTCCCCCACCCTCCTGTCAGTTGTCGCGGGTGTTGGAGGGAGGATAGACCACTCGGCAGGTGGGTGCTTTCGATGAAGGGTCCAAAACGGCCTGCCTGCGGCACAACCGGGGGATTCCATATGGGCTCCGGTCATTCCAGGCAGTTGCCCAGAGGTGGGGACCCCCCTGTTTGTGGCTTTGGCTGGTTTCGAGGAGAAGTCAGGGCAAAGCCACCATGTGCGTCGGGTTGCGGGGTGTCCAGTTGTGGGAACCAGGGATACAAGTCCCCCAAAGACACAGGAAGCCTGTCGTGGCTAGCGAAACTGCAATCTACGGCGAGAGAAGCAACGTTTGTCAGCCAATCAGAAGTCCTGTTCATTTCGAGGCTCTTTAAAGCATTCAAAACACTACCGGACGATTGGACCGTTTTTTTGCGGCAGGGGGGGAGGGGGGGCTGGAGAGGGAGCCACATCGTCATGTTGGTTATTGAAGGCAGTTCGATGTCAGTTGGTTCTCTGGGTTGGTTTCCTTTGGAGTTGTTCACGGTGTAACACTCTGTTATATTTCTCCGTTTCTGGTTTGTGGCAAATGCACTTCGACGCCCGCTCATGCGATGTTCCAGCAAGGGCACAGCACAAAAGAAATGGGATAGTAGTGGCCAAGTCTGAATTGGGCATTATCACAACTTGCGATGGCAACGCCTTGCCATCGACGATGGTTTGACGAAGATGGGGTTGGTGGGTGTGTATGTGCCGCAAGATGACAAGGTCTTCACCCCACACGTGCAATCGCCAGCCTTGAACTGCAACATTTTGCCCCACAAAGGGCGTCTGGCAGAGATTCTCCGCCACTTCTGAGCATCGCGCAAAGATGTGTGTCGTGCCGAGTCTCGGGCAGCTGCATCAACCGCTGGATTCAAGGCACGCCACTCTGCTGGGACTTGGATTTGGCGATAGCGCTTAGCTGTCTGGAGCGGATCTCGTGCAAGCGAGACCAAAGCCTGCGCTGGCCTTCATGCCCAGACGCTTCGCGCTCACCTGTGGGGCTTTGTGATCAGAAACAAGCCGCGCGTGTAGCAATCTCAAACGCTCCAAGCGTGCAAGGATACAAAACAGCAGGCACAAGCTCTGCGGCATTTGCTGTAGATTCAATGGCAGGCATGGCCTTTGGCACAGCACGCCGCAAGGCCATCGCGCGCTGACGGTCCAGGCAGAGCGGCACTTCTCTGGCTTGCTCGGATCAATGGCGCTGCCGTCTGTGGCAATCACAAGATCATTTGGAAATTGTCAGAGAGAATCCACGAGAAAAACAATAACGTCAATTCGCACCATGAAAAAGGACTTGTGCCATCCAACACTCCGCGCTTGGCCGCTCAGCCAAGGAAATCCAACCATTTTGGAAAAAGGCCTTGCGAGCAGAGCCCTGGAGCTCAGGGGCCACCTCTTGCGGGCGCACACGCAGCAGCCGTGGCCGGGCATTGCCACATCGAGGTGTCCCTGAACTCCAGCTATGCGATAACCGGAAACTTTAGCTTGGAGTCATCCTCAATCTGCCCGCTGAGCCTGCCAAGGGCATGCAACTCGGCTGCCGCAGCGTCAGCCAGCTGTGAGAGGCAAGGGTGCGATCATCCACGAAAGTGTGCCTTTCCACTCTTACCCGTATGCTCGAAGGTGCCTTGAGTGCTTGCCTGCCAACAGGGCAGCCAGCAGTCACGCTGGGTCGCCTTGGGCTACCCCCCCTCTTCTGCCAACTGCTTGCCACACCGGCTGGGGCGATTAATTGCGCTTAATCAAGAGCAAGGTGTTGGCATGCCCTGGCCGTAGTCCAAACTTGACGGCGAGGTTTCGCACAAGAACAGGGTCAATGAGTCAATGCGTGTGAAGGAGTTGCTCAAGTCACTTTGTCAAAGGATGAGAGGCTGTTCACTCCCGACACCTTTGCAATTGGTCAAGTCGTTTCGGGCGGCTGATTATCCGGTGAAGTTCTGAGCCTACTGTTGCCTGTTCCATTTGAGGCATTTCTAGGGTTTCTTGAAACACATAATTTTGGCCATTGCAAGCATCACCTGGTGGTTTGATGACCAATTCCCCCCCATTTTAGCGTAGGCCGCCCGCCCATTGTGCCATCTACCGGCCTGGTGTCATCTAGCCCCGCCCAGGGCCGCCGTCGGCCTCGCCGAGCACTCCCCACAGGGCCCCCAGCGCAGGCGCTCGGTGGCGGAGAACGTGAACCCCAGCCTCTCGTGGCTCAGCCGGCGGGTGGGTGGGTGGGGGGACCGTGTGCTTGCCCAAGGCGCCGTGGTCAAAATACCCTTAGAGCCAGTGGGGGCAGTCATAAACCCTGCGACAGATATTTGGACGAGGACGGCGCACAGAAGGCGTTTTTACCACGATCCCGATTTTGGGAGGGATATGGGGGAAGGAGCTCTAGATTTCAACCACAAAAACCACAGGACTCACACATTGAAGTTCAACATAACACGGAGGATCATCGGCTGTTTTTGTATTTGTCGCTGGCAACCCCGGGAGCTCGATCTCTCACCCCAATCTGCAAGACGGCATCGGACAGCTCTTTCACGCCCTCTGAACTCAGGTTCCGCTTTTCTATGCTTGGACAAACCTACCATCTAAACGAGAAACTGGAGGTGTGTTGAAGATGGCAGGACCCCTGTGAACCCCAGCCCCGGCCCAGAAGGTCAGTGTTGTCCGCTTTTAGGACACACACGTCAATTCACCCAAAGTACTTTTAGTCACAAACAAGGAATAACTCCCAGGCAACATGTAAGGGGTGTTCATCGAGGTGAGCCCGTTTACTTTTTCAGGTGATCTAGTGTTTGTCCAGATCAATCCTCGCTCGGCATCCTGAGGCTGTTCCTCGCCGGCGCGAACGTGCGTGCGGAGCTGGCGCGAACCACTCCACAGCATTCGGAGAGTGAAGAGGAGGAGGCACAGCCGGCGTCATCCATGTGCCTTGGTTAAAACTTTTGAAAATTGTCGGTTCATCTCCTGCCCCCTCCATCCCTTCCACTGCCCCCTCCTTCCATTTGCAAACGAATACTTTCCATTTTCCCTTGTTGGTTTCAAAGGGAATTAGTTCATCTGGACGTATTTCTTCCTTTTTTCCGCGAAAAAGTCGGCGCCTCTCGATCGAGAGGCATCTGCTGCTGCAGGGGAAGCCGGTGGACGCGCATCGCGCGGCCTCGGAGTCCAGCGGCCTCAGCTCCGGGCCGAGCTCGCGGAGCGCCTCGCGGAGCGCCTCGCGGAGCGCCTCCAGGCCGGTGTTTTGGGTGTTTTTTTGTTGAAGTATCACTATTATTACTATTGTTATTATTATTAATTGAGGGGAAGAAGCATCCACGCAACGGGGTGTTCAGGGGGTGCTGGGGGGTGGGGGGTGGGGGGTGGGGGGTGGGGGGTAGGGTGGTGGCCGGGGGTTTTGTGGGAAAAGGAAGCCCCGAAAGACATGGGGCAAGGGGAAGGGAAGGGGGAAGGGTTTTGGTATCGCCGTTTCCCATTTGTCAAAAACCTCCAAGCAACAGCAGATCATGATGGAGACATGGTGCCGCATCTTTTTTCCCTGGCTGGACACACCTGCAAACAGACCATGGCTTGAAGCATCACCATTTAGAAATGGCAAATTGCTTGGGGAGTTTCCAGGTGGGTGACCATTACTTCCGCGAAGATTGACATGAAGCCTCCAAACCTCTGATGTTCAGAGATTCAGACGAATATCTTTTTGGCCCCCTGTCTCTGTGGTTTTGTAGGGGAGTAATGGGGGGAATAAGCAGGCCTGGGCAAATTTGTTTAAGCAAGCCTCTTGTCCCTTCCAAAAGGGGAAACCATCATAAAAACGCCACTAATCAATGTGGGCATGTCTTTCTTTAGGGGACCCCGACCAAAAAATAGAGACATAAATAGGGTGGTGTTCTTTTCTTTTGGTTTCCCTTTCAAACCACAAAGCAACAAGGGTACCCTCAGAACGAGACGAGCCACCCATACTGGTTTGAAACGCGCGGGTGGCCCGTTCGCCAGGAGGAGCAGCTTGGCCTCGGCCTGCTCACAGGCCAGCAGGATGTCCATGTTGGCCAAGCGTTTGCACGAGGAGACGGAGGTGCAGTACGACAAGGCGTGGGTCCTGTCCCTTCAAAAGACTCTTTTTGGGCGTTGTCCAGAAGACAAACTGTTTAGAGGTTCCTCACACCCTTCAATGAAGGTTCGTGGAGGCTTGGCAGGTTCCGGGGCTGTTGGGATCCCAAGTCGTATTTCACTCGCCATATACCCATTTTGTCAGGCTTTGATCAAGGTCTTCAACCAGGCGCGACTCGAGCGATCGATCGATCGAATGGGACCTTTCGAATGCCCGCGGGGTGTGAGCTATTCGGGTTCTCGCTATACCACTCAAAAGGCGCCGCAAGGCGGCGCCGCGCAGGATCAGTGGACCAGTGGAGCTGCGCTTTCAGCTTACTTATAAGGCAGCCTTCTGAAGGTCTGCTTCTTTGTTTTGGTTTGCCTGTCTTTTTTTTTTGTTTTCCTCTTCCGCTCGCTTGCGTTTTGAAGGTGGTCCTGGGCCCGCGGGTGGACTTCTGGGAGCCCCTGACGCGCCCGGACTTCGTGAAGGCCATCAAGGTGTTGCGCCGGGTGGACGAGGACATGGCAAGGTCCATCTACAAGCTGAGCGGCCGAGAGGACAAGGTGTGGCCGGGGAGGGGGGGCTGATGTGTTTGGTCTGTGTCGTGATTTGTTGGGTCTTTTGTTCAGTTATGGGGGAAGCGCAGATCAGATGCAAAAAGCAATTGGTTGTTTTTCTGTGCACCCTTGTTTTGGGGGTTGTTTTGGGGGGGAGGACCGGGGAGGACCAAAGAGACACTGAATCAGCGAATGCCCATGAGACAACCCTCAGGTGCCCCCGGGCGAGGTGTTGCTGCGCGTGCTGGGCGGCTTTGGATTCAGGTACCGCAGGCATGGTAGGGAGTCGATCAACTGAGTGCAGGGAGGGTCAGAAACCCCTTCGAACCACAAATAAAATCCGGGGTGAGTGAAAGTAAGATACAGTCACAGCCATACATGGGCGCGGACGCCCTTTCCTTTCCTTACATAGGCCTTTGTAGTAGATGCCAGGTTTTGGTTATGACTCATTTGGCCCGACTTGTTCCCCACAGTCTGGCGCAAGCATCGCCCAACAGGCTGCGGGAGGAGCTGGGCGTGCGGGTGGCCAGCAGGCGCTCCTCCCTGCGCTCCTCCCTGCGCTCCTCCCTGGCTTCCGAGGCCTCCAGCTTGGCGATGCCACAGCCGCCGGAGCCGCCGGTGCTGGCGCCGGCGGTGAAAGTGGCTGAGCCGCTGGGGTTGAGCCTGGGCCTCCCAGCTGAGCCGAGAAAGTCAGCTCGGGCGACCTTGGTGAACGCGGCGGCTCGGCAACGAATGCCCAGGTTTATTTGGGAAGGGCTTGAGTCATGGGGCACAAGCAGGCTCAACCCTGTTGTGAGAGGAAAAGGCAAATCGAAGCAACTAGGTTCTCGTGGTCGTGCTGCTTGAAGAGCTGCATCCCTCGGAGTTTTGGTAAGCCAAGGTGAGGAAGGTGGGGCTGACCCGCCACATGTGGGCCAAGTCCAAGGCGCCAGACTCGAGTGGCGAGCTGGCGGTTGTGGGCCGTGACCGCCGTGACAGCGAGGTTGGCTCTGACGGCGAGGCGCTCCCGTCGGACCTGTTGCCCAAGGCGGACCTCGGGGAGTTGATGGGCGCCGGCCGGGAGAAGCCAAGCCAAGAGGCGAGCCCTGCGAGCCAGGCAAGCCCAAACCGGCGCCGCCACTCTGATCTCGCAAGCCCCAGGAAGGCGGCTACACTGAATTTGCTGCCAAGCTTTGGTGAAGATTTCATCGCAGTAAGGAAGCCGGCGCTGCAGCGTCGGCAGTCCAAGAAGCTGGATGATTCAGGGAACCTCCGAATCCAGGGCGATGAGGAAGGCGAAAGGACTTCCGACTCAGACCGCGCACGTGCCGACTACGGCCGGAGGAAGAGCATGACCTGTCTGGACCTGGAGGCGGACTTGCCCGAGGAGGAAAGGCAGATCTTTTCCCCGGCCCGGAAGATTCTGCATCGCAAGGCCTCAGATGTGAGTCCCTTCAGCCCCGACGCCTTCGATTCCTCGGGTGCCTTGGGCTCCTTTGGTTTGGGCGTGGGCTTCGGAGTCCAATCCGACTCGGGCAACAACGCCTGGGCCTTTCAGCCGAATCTCTGGCAGAGCTTCGCCTCGCGAATGGACGGCAACCCTGCGGAGGCACCGGAGCCCACTGCTGAGGAGGCCGAAACGGGATGCGACACCAAGGGGCTCCCTCCAAGTTTCTGCCAGTTTATTTTTCGAGCCATGGCCCAAAAAGACTGGTGTTGGTTTTGATTGGCTGAGGACGGATGAATGCAAACCATCAACCCACTGAAACACGACAGCAATACTATGGCCAGCATTGTTCGTAGGGCATGATGTTATTCGCACAACGCCGATGAAGACAGTTTGAATACTGCGTACACGCAGGGGTTTCGGATGTTGTTTCCTTTTTTGCAACGATATTGCAAACGATCTCATTGTTGGTCAGAGTATCAATACTGAACTGGAGGTTCAGCGGAAAGTCTTTACCTCTCCCTGGCTAAAACACATGCATTGAGCATTGAATTTTGGGCCCTTGGTTCTATAATGGTAGCATTGCCCAGTCATGCAGACCAGAACAATTTGGCTGAAGTTTCCTGGCTGTTCAGAGGTTTTGCCCCTGCAGAACCAGCGGTGAAAAGGTGTCATGCCCGGTTTCGGCTCTGTGATCGCAGACGCAGTTCACATATATTGTGGATCCCGGATCGATATGACCTTTCCATTGTTCCAAATTCGTGCGAAGATCACACTACAATGGATCACCCCCTCCGTGAAACCAGAAAGGAAAGCTGGCATTTGGAATGGCAGCTCCACTTGAAAATCTATTTTCTTTGATTGTCCATATCTTGAACCCAGCGATAGCGATGGGTCTTAGCCAATCCTGGGGTTCCAAAGAAGCTCCGCGCAGATTCCTGCAAAATCAACTTTGCCCAGGCGGATTGGGGATACTTCTCGGCCTTTCCATCATTCCATCCTTCCTATCCATCCTTTCTATCCATCCTTTCTATCCATCCTTCCTATCCATCCTTCCTATCCATCCTTCCTATCCATCCTTCCTATCCATCCTTCCTATCCATCCTCCCTTCCCATTCGCAGGCTGAATGTATGAACCCCCATTACGAACCCCTGCTATGAACTGCACGTGTAACAATCATTTCCTGCAACCCAGCCATGATCCCATATTGGAATCATGAGATTGGAGGCAAGCCACCTGGCCCAAGACCATACATATCACTTGCGTCAATCAAACTGAACCACTGGCTCCAACTTGAGTCGACCCCAGCCACCTGAGACGAATTCATACATACCCCATGTCAATCAAACTGAACTGGCTTCAAGTCGACCCCAGCCACCTGAAACGAATGCGCCCGCTTCGCCCGCTTCGCCCGCTTCGGCCGCTTCGGCAGGCGGCCGCGCTGGACGCCTTGGCCGCCTCCGAGGCCCGGAACCTGGCGACGCGGCAGACGCTCTTCGACGAGGTGGGCGTCAGCGGCAAGGTGCAGCGGGCCCTGGCGCTGGAGGCGATGCGGCCGTGGGTCGGGCGGTGCATCCGACGTCAAAGGTGGCCGAATCTTGCTGTTAGGAATGAAGGGAGACCAAAAGATGACACAGGCCTGAATGGGTGTTTGAGGTTGCCACATGGTTTCCCTTTAGGGGAACATCTGTTGATACGACGACTTTTTGGTAGGTCAGGCAATCATTCTGGTTGGTTTCCACTTTCTGTGAGTGGCCCAGAAATCCCAGCCTAATTTGATAGATGCACCAGTTGCAGGTGATTGCTGCCAGCGGCGCGAAATGGGTTTTGTCCATGCGGAAGGATGGTGCAGCTTGCTGTCAGGAGTCCGAGGGTTAAATCCCACCATGCAGGCGGCGCAGAAGGCGATGGCCCACCTGTTGAGGACCTGCCAGGGGTCACCAGGCGCGCGTTCGAGTTGGTTTTGAGGGAACCTAGGTACCCTCAATTCGACAAAGAGGTAGACTGCAGACTGATTTGGGACAATGAGTCAGGTGCTCCTTCAGGTACCATCTTCAGGTACCCTCTTCAGGTACCCTCTTCAGGTATATACCCTCTTCACATACCCTTTTCTGGGCCCTCTGATTCCTTTTAGGGGGGTTGTGGAAGGGTGATGAGGCAACAACACGTGTGTGCTGTATTTTCGGCATCTTTACTCAGATATATGCGAGGGATTTCTACAGAAAGCAAGAAACCACAATCACACAGTGATTTTAGGGCAGCTTTTGAAATGGCGCCTGCGCCAACTGCAGGGCGGGTCTTCGAGCGCCTGGCGGGGACCTCCGAGCTGAGCTTTGGGCGCTTGAGGGAGGGCCTGGTGAAGCAGGCGCCAGTGCGCGAGGGCCGGGGTGGCCGTTGGGTTACTTGGAATAGGAGTTGTGGGTGCATCAGCCAGCTTGATTTCCGGATTCGTTCCGGATTCAACGTTTGAGCTTCTGGTGGTTTCGTTGCTGTTTGAGGAAAAGGAGGCGGTGTGGAAGCTAGATTTTTCCCCTGACATTCACAGCTTGGAGCTTGGGGTACACCCACCCCTGGGTTTGTGGCGGCCCTTGGTTTCGGGTTGGGGAGGGGTCCGGTTTCCAGGGAAGGAGAAGGGTGTGTGGCCGCCATACTCCTTCGTTTTAGTTCTGGAGAGAAAGGTGTGGGGGGCTGGCTAAAAAAGGACTCATCGAGGTGATTGGAAGCATGAATCACCTTTTTGGAGCCGAACATTCATGTGTTTCCTGTAGGAGGGATGAAGGTTTCAGGGAAACAGTTGAGCCATAGGTGTCCTTCTTAGTTGTTTTCGCAGGAAAATAGATGGCCCTGGTTTACCTGTTAACCATCCACCAGGGTTCCCCTAAAAGGACCCCTATGTCTGGAGCCCGATTATCAGGCGGGTCTGAAGCCCTTTGATGCGGAGCTCGCGGCCGCGCTGATGCTGGCCGTTGAGGGCGAGCACACCCTGTGCCCCGATGCCGCAAAATGGGGATGCGGCAACATCGGCAACATGCAAACACACCATTTGGAAGGATGCGTTTGAAAGGATGCGGGCAAACCCATTTGGATTTCGCACGCCGAATGTGGTACCAGCATCCTCACACCAGGATTTGCCATGACTCCCGTGGTTTGCTTTCCTGTTCCATATTGCCAAGAGGGCATGCCATCCGTTTGAAACGCGAGAGAACCTGTTATGGACTTCACTTTTTGACAGGGAGACTTCTTGAAGCAGTAGCCAACCTTTTCCCCTTTTTGCCTTTTTGGCTTCCATCATTTTCTGTTTAAACCAGCTTTCCCTTTGCACTACTATTGGCAACCAGTTAACCTTTTTTTGCAAGGGGTCTAAGTCTGGTCAAGGAAGGTGACAGTTTTCTCTTTGTCCTGTCGAATCGGTTGGAAGACACCCAGGCGTAGGCAGCATTGTGCTGGATGCATCAGTTGGTAGGCGGAGGGTCGCGTTTAGCCACAGACACGGTTCGGGCCCATTCAGGGGCATGCTTATCGAAAGTGTATGGAAATAGGGCTTTAGGCTTGGCCACTTTCCACATTTGTTCAGACGACGGAGACATTACTCTTTGGTCTACCATCTGAACATGCCTCACATTTTTTGCCAGTCAGACAAGGAACCGCTCCAACTTTCCCATATTCTTCCATGGTTTGTGTTGTATGACTGGTTTGCTTACAAGAATGGTTGTTTTGTTTTTAATGTTTTTGTTTTGTTTTGCTTTGTTTGGGTTGGTTTCACCTGGGCGTTTTGTTTCTTGGTTGATTTGCATGTCTGGTTTCGTTTGGCTTTGCAGGCCGCGGGCGCACTGGGCGCGCGTGGCGCTCTTCGTGGGGCCCGGCGCCTCGCTGCTGGCGCTGGGCGCGCGCCTGGCGCTGCGCTTCGGCTCCGCGCAGCGGGGGCTGGCGGCGCTGGCGCCGGGCTTGCCCGAGGCGCGCGCGCGCGCTTTCGCTTTCGCTGGCGGATTGGGGTGGTGGACTCGAGATGGTGCGAAGCCCAAAGAAACCAATGACACCCAAAAAAAGTAGGAGGTTGCGACATGCAGTCCACCATAAAGGGGCGGGGGGCGGTGGAGTGTGGGAGCGCTTGAGCAGGTCCCAAAAGTCCCACAAAAAGGCAGAGGGACTATTACGGTTGTCCGATGTTGTGGGTCACAATAAGAATATGGTTTGGCTTAGCGCAGATTCGGCCGTGTCGGGGTTTGGGTGATTCGGGGGTTTGGGGGTTCCAATGTAGGCCTTCTGAGTCGAGATGAATATCGTCAGTCGTCAGAGGCTGCCTTTCCTTTTAACTGCCTGGTCCGCCGATGGGTGACAAAGAGATGGCAGTGTTTCTCGGTGTTTCTGAACACAGCAAGGGAGATTGTTGCGATTGGGATTTTAGCTGAGCGTGAGCCTTCCTTGCATTGCTTGGCGGATCTTTGGAATCATGGTGCTGCCCTCATCCTGGCAACCTTCATTGCGTCCTGACCAGATTGCTGCGAGCTTAACACCCATGGAGGTTGCTTCCACGAAGAGGCAACATGTTATTTATTTCTTTTTCTTCTCCTGTGCCTTTGCCTTTTGTTTGTCTCACCGGCGCAGAACGGCTTTGCCAAAGGCGTAGAAATCTTTGTTATTCTGAGTATCTCCATTTGGGGTTATGCAAGTAGGACTTTTAACACCACCAGGCACCTGGTTCACAGTCTCCCATGGTCCCGTGGCCAGGAATTCTCCATCGACCAGCTGGAGCCCATAGCTCTGGCGCCTCATTTAAGAGAGGGGTTGGGCAAAATTTGTTTAAAGATCAAGCCCTGGAGGGAAACCCAAAGGAGGCTGCAGGGGAACTGCCGTGGCCCCGAGCAAATTTAGGCACAGAGCTCGGGCTTTTGGCGGGACCCAGAAAGATCGATTGCTTGAGGGGCATCTCAGGCAGCAGGCGTCGGCAGCGGCGACTTGAGCCTGATCTTCCAGGAGAGGATGGCGTTTGGCTCTGGGAGGTGTCCTGTTTCCGAGAATCATGGAAGTAGGACGGAACGCTTTGTTGAAGATGGTGGTATGCTTCCAAAGTCCTGTGCACTTCCATGTTTGTTGGAAAGAGGGTAGCAGAAGGGAAGTGGAAGCGCACGTCGCACATCTTGACTCTTGAAGACTCTGCGTTTCCAACCTGCCTCCTTGGCCTCCTGCCACCGCCTATGCCTTTAGGTATGTGTCGAGATAGGGATTGGATTCCCAAAATGGGTGTTTTCCCTTTAGGTTGCGAGAAACCAGCTCAGAAAACAAGGGTAGCCTTACAATATAAGAGCACGAGATCTCTACGCACTGCTCTCAGGAGGCCAGCGTGCTAGGCCGCGACAAGCCGGGCTTCCTGAGCCTGCAGATCTTGGGGAAGGCGGGACATGGATTCGAGGCATCCAAAGATAGAGGAGCGCACAACTCGCTCCCTGACTGCCTGGACTTCATACTTTTTGGGAGGATCATTCTAGTGACAAGCATCAAATTTTGACCATTCGGAAGTTTAGGGCATTTTCATGGTGACTCACGCCAGAAGTCCACGATAGTCTATGACACGCGTTGTATCAGTTGCCAGCATGACGATGACGTGAAGGGTTTCCGACTATCATTTTGCCCTATGTTGTTCAGCGGTCCCCTGACCCAACATGTTGGGGGGGGGAGGTGTCTTGGGAGCTATTGCTTACAACATATCTACACATGATCCATTGCCAGCGAGTATGATTGTTTTGTGGCATTTTAAGCCATGTCGCAAAACACATGCTGTCCTTGCGCTCTTTACAGGGACAATTAGACTCTCATGTACCTCACTCTGAGTCTGCTAGATCTAGCGGCAGCCCAAACACCACTAGGTATCCCTTTCTTGAGACCCGGTCTTCGGGGTTGAGGAAGGTCTTGAGATCAGAAGGTGTAGCGAAGCAACGCTTATCGCCACCGAAGAGCCGGTTTGTCAAGGCTTGTAGTGTGGCTTCCACTACAAACACCACCGTCAGGGGTTCAATGGGATGTACGGGCACTCTATAGCCAGTGGAGGGTATATACCGGTTTTCCCCTGGAGGTGGTTCGGGGGTAGTGGAACCATCTCAGAAACTCTCGCCGGCTGCATGCCTCATAATAGCACGGATCCAAGCAGTAAATGACATGAACCCATCGCTCGCACATTTCCGGCAGGATCCTCCAAACACATTAAATTGCATTTCGCAGGACACACTTCGGCCGCAAAAGCATACGTTGCCAAGAAATGTGAGTCCATGACATATATGACCTGACTTGCTCAAAGACGAACAAGACCTCCAGACTCTGCAAAGGCACTGCATTTCCTTTCTGCCACCAATGTGAAGCTTGAAACGCATTTGTTTGTTTGACACAATCATCGCTTTGAAAAGACATGTGACATGTCAGACTCTCACTTCTCACTGTGCACTCGATGTCAATACGGCCATGGTTCAAAACCAATGGTACCATTTCAGGATAGCTGCACCAGTCTATTTTAGTGGGGATTGGGATGTTCACTGGGGGTACGGGCTTTTGACCCATGGCCATTTGGTTGAGATACTCAATGATCATTTGGCCTGTCCGGAGTATTCCCCCCCGCTTGGAGCACCTGGGCAGTCCATCCAGTTGTGACGGAGGGATTCGCCACCAAGACCTAGGACTTGGTCCAACAAAGACCAGCAAAATGACAGCAACACGAACAACCCAAAACCCACAGAAACACATCCAAGAAACGCAGGAAACAAACCAGCTAAAGCGCACCTTTGACTCACCCCGAAAAAAAAGCTGACAGGAAACACAAGCACTAGTACCACAAACGATAAAAGCAAAGCCAAACATCACCAGAAACCGACCTCGACTTGGCTCGGTGCCTTTCGAAGGCCTTGGAGAGAGCCCCGGTGCTGCGGGCTTTGGCGCTGCTGCAGCAGAAGATGGGCGGAACGCTGGTGGAGTGGCTGAGCCTTGGTCGAAAAGCGGGGCGTGGCTCACTTGAGAGTCTGAGGTTCTGATCCATTTGGGAGGGACATGGGGGAGCTCCGCCTCCTCCCCTTTTCTCTCTCCCTCTCCCTCTCCCTTTTCCTTCTCCCTCTCCCTCGGTCTCTCTCCTTCCTTTTTTAAAAGCCCTCCCTCCCTCCCCTCCCCTCCCCTCCCCTCCCCTCCCCTCCCCTCCCCTCCCCTCCCATCCCCGTCCCCTCCCCCTCCCCTCCCCTCCACTCCCCTCCCCTCCCCTCCCTTCCTCTCTCCCTCTCGCTCTCTGTCGTCCTTTATTTAAAATTTAAACTCTCTCTCGCTCTCTTTCTGTGGCTCTCTAGTTGTTTGTTTCCTTTCTTTCCCTCTCGCTCTCTCTGCATCCCTCTCTCTCCCTCTCTTTCCCTCTCTTTCCCCCCCTCTCTCTAGCTATTTTTTCCTTTCTATTTTTCTCCCTCTCTCTGTATCCCTCTATCTCTCTCTCTCTCTCTCTCTCTCTCTCTCTCTCTCTCTCTCTCTCTCTCTCTCTCTCTCTCTCTCTCTCTCTCTCTCTCTCTCCCTCTTTCTCCCTCTCTCTCTCTCCTCCTCTTTTTTCTTCTCGCTCTCTCTGTCGCTCTCTCTAACTATTGTTTGTTGTTTTCTCTATCTGTTTGTAACTCTCTGCCTTCGCCCATTTTTTTCTCTCTCCCTCTCTCTCGCTCTATTCAACTCTCTTGTTTTTCCCTCTTTCTCTCTCCATCTCTCTAAATTTCCCACAACATTCAAGACATTTTATTTGCGGGTTGGCGGGGCTGGCAAGCAACCCTCTACTAGGCTTTTGGACAACAATCACACGGGTTCTTACAAAGAAAGCCCATGACTTGGGCTAACACTGCCTTACAAGTTGCCCCAAGATGCGAAGATATCGAATAAGCAAAGCCTTGTGGAACCCTCGCCAACATCTTACAACCATTGGTAGCAAACAAGTGGTTGTATGTCAGCAAACGCAAGTGGGTGCGAGGTCTCAATTCGGATTCCCGCCTCAGGTGGTTGCTCGGAGGCCCCCTCCCTCAAACTTGTTGCCCCAGGTGCGCATGTACAATGCACAAGCTTCACTTCGCATGTCATGTCTCGTTCCAAGGTGGAGCATATTAGTTGCGGCAAAATACCGCACGGGCAACAACACTGGTATATGACTAGATAGGACATATTGTCCAGGGAGAGACCCGGTACAACGTTGCCTCGTATTGGCAAACCTGTCGCTTGTCGCTGCATTGGGCCGGATGAACTGGGGGTGTTCCCCTCAAATGTACAAGCAAAGGATCCCCTCCAAAATGAGACACCCCCAAGAATCATCAAGAGGTTCATGGATCCAGGGTTGCTGTGTTCCATCCAGGGCACGTGGTTGAACCCCCTAGACACATGTATATTGGAGTGCGTCTCAGAAGAGGGGGAGGCCCAACAGTTTTTTTTGACTCCTGCAGA